CAGTAAACCATCAAAAACCAGTACTATCTCAACAGAATCTGCCAAAATACAAATTGGTGTGGAAGCAACTTATTGCCAACTAAAGAACCAGAGCTTTGACTCCTAGTCTGGATATTAAGGTTTGGTGCTTCTCTCTCAGCAAACAGCATGCAGCAGCATGGGATAGCAAGCAACAATCAAGGTGGTGTGCAATCATGATAAGAGATTATAGACCTAGAACTGAGACCATCCTAGGATGAGATGTGCAATGCAGAGAAGCGATGTAATCTGCATTTCATTAATCTTTGAGTTTTTTCTTTACAACCAATTCAGAGCTAATAAACCTCAGCCTTGAAAGCGTAGTTATGAAGTTCAAAAGTAACACTGCGTATTCTGCAAAATCCTGTGCATTTTCACGACAGCTATCAGGTTGAACCATGTGAAACTGCCAATATTTATTTTTTTTTCATCTATAAGGATAGCAATTTCAAACAAATATTCTGTGAATGTGGGGGATGTCTAGCCAAATTTAGAAACATAACACTAATAACTTCTATTTATTTACATATTTATGTCTTTGGTTTTCACTCATGTTAATAGCCTTTAAAATATTGCTTACTTCTCACAACATGAATACATGGAGCTGTAGAAAAAAATATTAGTACTCTTGAAGATAACCATAGACAAATGAGCTTAAAGAGATACACCTTTAAATCAAAACCGAAAGAATAAAATATCAACTGACATATAACAGAGACTCCAAAATGGGAATTAATACTTGCTTTAGTTATAGTAATACAACTCACTGAACTAGTGAAACAGACCAAACCATTATAAAGAGTTCTATGTTCTAAATTTGATTCAGTCTTATCTGTATTATGAATTGGCTATGAAATCACAGATGTAGTTTGTTGGGCCTCAGTTTTCCTACTTGTGCTGTAAGGGGCTGGAACTGGGCTCTGGCCAATCCTGCTCTGTTGCAATATACTCTGACTTGTGTTACTAATGAGGCACCATCATTGAGTGACCCTGAGAGAGAAGGAAACTCAACGTGAACCTCAGGATGTCTCAGATTTGTATTTAGATTTAAATGGAATTCATCCCATAGAAACTAGAAAAGAAATTTTCCAGAGGAAAGCAAGAGTTAGTTAGGCTAAGCAAAGCTCTAACAGTCATGTTGGCCTGAGAACAGTAGAAGCTAAGAAGGAAGGTCAGCTACAGAAAAGAATAAAAAATAAATAGCATGAGTCTGAGATATAAGACTGCCGAATAGGTGTCAAGCAGCTTGTGAACTGTTTTGCTATGAGTGAATGCCCCTTAGAAATACAAAGACAAGGAGTCTAGCATAAAAATGGGCTCCAATTTGTCCTCTCATTAGAATTAGTCTTCTATAAACATAATGGCCTGTATTTATACCAATATGGGCAAGTTAACGAAAATCAAGTTTCTTCTTAAAAAATGGAAAGCCTACTTTTATCTGTAACAATTTGACTCACAGCAACTCAGTATAAAATCTATCTTTCCTAAAACCTATGATCATGAAGGTAATTGTGAAGGAATTTATAAAAAAGGAAAACCATGCACAAATGAAAAGCAAGCAGAGAGAAAATACACAGCGGGAAAGCAATAGAAGTAATTAAAGTGGAAATATTTTACTGCTACCTTGTAGAAAGTATATTCCCTTTCCACAAATTTTCCTTCTAGTAAAAAGAAAAATATAAAATTGATTCCTTACCAGAATAAAATTGATACTATGTTTTGGGAAGGAAATGTCGAGCTATGACAGGCATTTTCCAAGCTGATTTCCTCTTTTAACATTATTGCCAGAAAATTAGATTTCCATTTTTCTTTGTCTAGTCATTCATGGTCTTTCATGAAGATTTGCATGAAAATTAAAGAGCTGAAAAATTCAGCTGAAAAATAAAGCAACTGGAGAATTTATATAGATGCCTATCAGTCACTGGGACCCAAGTATGTATAATGTTTTACAAAGGAATAATTAGACCAAATGTCTATATTTTGCAAAGATTTCATTTTGTAGTTAGATTTCCATGCATAAGTTATCACAGCTGTAAGATAACAACTCAAAACCATGCATATCATACTTTCAAATGAACAACCCAGAAAACTATAAGCTATTAATTCCCCACTATTATCTGTGGTTATGTGTGCAAAAAGGTGCAAATATGTTCCTAAAATCTTTTGAGCTAATTTTATGGGCACAATGCATTTTCTTCTCTGATGAAATAGATCATTTTATAAAACATACATAATAAAAAAAAGTTCCCTTTGGAGCAAGCCAATCAGACAACAATCATGGGGATAACTTATTGTGTAGGGATACAGGCTATGTATTTTCAAGTATACCATGTAAACAACACAAATAGCATCTGTCCCTGATTGATGTCAATCCTACTGGATTGTGAAATCTCTAAAATAAAGACATTGTACTATCCCTTCTCTTGTATAATCTATACAGGCTATTTTAAATTGTCATATTAATTTACACAATGCTGAGAATTAATTTCCAGAGCTCTCTTCAAATTCAAAAGGAATTTTGGTTTGGAAGGCACCACTGAATTGTAAACCACGAGAAGGCAGGAGCTCCATTTTTCTCATTTCTATCTTAATGCTTTCACGTAACAGATCTTCAGCACACACTTGTGTGATCAAGTCAACTATTATAGTCTTATCTGATAAAGGAACTGGTGTTATTATCCATTTTATATTTGGATAGACAGGCCTCACTTTCTAAGATACACACACATACACACACACACATACATATACACATACGTACGTACATACATACACAAGAGATCTCAGTTATAGGCTACTGTAGTTTTTGTTAGTTAAGGCAATGTCATTTTAAAACTCACATTAGGATTTTCGAAAACCTTTTAATAGCTGACAATATACATACTAGCTCCTGAATACACATATGCAATAAAAACTGCACTTCAAGAAGCAATGGAAGAAGGGCCACTTATTTATTTATCAGAGTGTTTGGCAAACTATAGAAAGTGGGCCAAATCTGGCACATAAGGTAACAATGGATTTTACATTTTTCAACTGGGGAATACTTAAAGAGTACTGTTCATGTCGTGTAGTAAAAATATGAAATTCAAAATTCAAGACCCATAAATAAAGTTTCATGGTAACAGCCATCTCATTCATTCACGTATTATTTGTAGCTACTTTTCTGCTCCAAGAGCAAAACCAAGCAGTTGCAAGAGACTATATGAACTAAAAGCCTAAAATATTTCCTACCAGTGCTCTACATAAATAATGTTTACCAATCCCTTTGCTAAATGGTCAGAACCTTCCCTATTATCTGGAGTAAACAAACAAAGAAACAAAAAGGAAATGGTAGCACAAAACAACTAGTACAGCATGACATGTCACTAAACTCTATTCCAGAGTGAACCAAAAGCAATTTGGGACATTTTATAATTCCAAGATATACGTGTCTTGGGGAAAGGACTTATCCCTTCTGGGTCTGTAAATGATGTTTCAGTTCTCTATTTCTTTGATCCCTGTTGTATGATTTTATAAGAACTAAATTGATTTTGCACTTGAATATATTAACATATATTTCCATCTGATACCCCCTAAAAGCCATATGATTGGCAATAGGAATTCTGTCTGCAACCCAGAGCTCTAATTCTCCATTGGAATATAGTCTCCATGGAACCACCTGATTAAACGTCCTGATCAGCCTTATGTAAAACACCATATAGCTATGATATGCAAAACTTTCATACTGAAAGTAAATGATGAAATCCCTTCCAGCCAGAAAGTATATTAAATGCTCAAATAGCTTAAAGTCCTTTGAAGAGAGAGCATGAGTGTTTCTTGTCCTCCTGCTGTTCCCCACACACTGAAGACAACGGATACTCAGCAAGTGCCTCCTGTCTATCAGAGCTGAACTCCAGCACCTCAACCACATTCATATTTATTAAAGAAAGAATAAGGAGTCCTTTTCATTATACTTATCATATTCCTATAATAGCTAATAACATCAGAGAAAACTATTATTGATTGTTCATTTACCCTTTATTTAAAAGGTCATCTTTGCCTTAAAAAGGTAATTTTTGGTTTTATTTATTTTTGCCTAAAACATTAAATGTTTGGGTTTCTCAAATGTGCATATATATATGTCATGTGGTAAAAATATGAAATTCAAAATTCAGGACCCATATATACACACACATACATATTCTATCTATCTATGTTCATTTATCTATAGAAACTCTGTCAATACTTCTAGCACATATTCAATTAAGTGATTATTCTTAAGATAAGTGATTAGTCTTAATCACTAAAAGGTAAGTGTAAAGAGAGTCCTGATTGGTCAACTTTTCATTGATTTATAAGAGTTATTCTATTCTTGTTAGTCATAAAACAATTAATATCATCAAAGATCCAAGAGTCAAGGTGGAACTTAATATATAAATTGGCTATGTGTATATGCTAATCTCTCCTGCTCATATAAAAACGTGGTGCTAGAAGACAGTCTAGAGCAAGGATGCTCAAACATGGCCACATGGTATTACACTGTCCTTCTGCACTTGGGACATTTTCCCAAGGAACATACAGTGGGTCTCTGAATCCTTCTCCACAAAGCACTCAAACAAGTCATGGTGTAGTAAAACCTCTTCTCTCTCTAAAGTCTATGGCAGTATTCCTAAAAATGGATTGTGCATTTCAGGAGATGAACAAAAATCCATCAGGATGAAATAAGATTTTATGTTTTTAAATATACATGTTATTACTATAATCAAGCATTAGTAGTAACTCTGTTAGTATGAGTTTCTGTTTTTAATTTCAAAACAGACAAAACTTGTCAAAGAGAAGGTTACGATGAGGCACACAGAAAGCTCAAACTGAAAAATAAGTGCCACAACAACTCATCTAAAGCTATTATGATCTGCTACACTGCCCATCAACATTCTATTGCTGGTGTACATAAGCAGTCACGCTTGCCCATGCCTCCTTGAATGACAGATGGACACACTCACTGTTTCTGAAGTAAGTGCTGGTGTTGTTGTTGCTGCTGCTGCCTGTATGTTTCAATCGTGTGCTGAGGAAGATACTGCATCAGCTCCAGAGACTCTTTGATCTTCAATAGCATTTCATAAGTCTCTCGGCCCCTCACCTATGTAAGCGAGAAGAAGGAAAGATGGGACAATGAAGAACTGTAGAATTGTTAGAAATGCAGTCGGTCTTCCTTATGCATGGATTCTGTATTTGTAACTTCACCTGCTTATTAACATTTATGTGTGACATGAAAATCAATACTCTTGGCACTTGCAATGGTCATTCACAGACACGCACAGTGATGAAAAGCTTACGTCACCTGTGCTTATTCCCAGCTGAGGGTGAACAAGGAGAAGGACTGCCTTCTTGTTGCTGCTCTCATGTTTCGAACAGTGTCCTTTTCGTGGTCTGTTTAGTAGCATAATTTCACATTTTTGTTCTTTTTGTTGGTAATTTTGCTGTATTAAATGTCCCTAATACAATGCTAAAGGGCTGTTTTATGTCCCTATGTGCAAGGCCATGCTGTGCTTTTTTGAGAAAATACTTGAGTTAGATAAACTTCATTCCAGGCATCAATTATAGTGCTGGGGGCCAGGAATTCAATGTTAATGAGTCAAAGTATATATTAAATAGGATGTCTTTATACAGAAACACATGTAACACCTGGTTATGTACTGATCTGTTGATGTAATGTTGGGACCAGAGATTCACAGGAACCTAATCTTTTATTTCCCCTAGGAGCAATGATTAACTATTCATAAATATAGTTTTCATAACAACTTCATAAAACATAACTACCATAAGAAACAAGAATCAACTCTGGAAGGACGAAAAGTTTTCAGCAGAGACAAAATGTGCTTCCTTTTAAAAGAATCTCTTAAAAGCTTAAAAATGTTAAGACAAAGGCCAGGAACAGGATGAGGTGAGCAGGGTCCTGAGTGTGAGTGCCTATTTAAATTGACATCGCTAGGTACTTTGCTTGCTTCAACCCAGTCCCCAACCTGAGCACGCAGTGCAGAATTGACCAGAATTTGAAAATGGAAGGAGACTCTCTCCCTTGTGCTGGGTTAAATCCCAGCCCTGGGGGCCCTTCACTGAGCAGCTTTGCCTACCCTTCCTCCTTTGGTCTGCAACCTGATTTCTTCCTGTGCATCCATAGCTCCAGCCTCACTCCACTGAGGCATGTATCTCATTACTTTGTAACTGCCCATGTGCTCAGTGGAAGACTAGCTCTCTGAAGGCAAGAACTGTGTCCTACTGCTCTCTAATTGCCCAAGGACTGGCCCATTTCTCCCTTAATGAATACCACGAAACACATGCTGAATTGATAGAATTGTTGCCCCCACCCTCACATGCACTTAAATTTTGCTTATTTTCCCAAATTTCAACATGTAACCCATTACAGAGTACTTCTTCCTAAATTAAAATTTCACTAACTTTTCAGAGAATTCCCATGTTATAGGCTGAAAATAGTAAGTATTTGGGGATATTTAATATATCAGGGTAATGCTTTACCTAAAAGTCACAAATCCATTGCCATAAGTAGCCTGAGAAACAAGACACTGAGAAGCTCAGCTGATTCGATGTTTGACTGGTTGATTGGTTGACTGGTTGTCTGTTGCCCAAGGGCCAGGACCCAGGGAAGGTGTGGAGCAAGATGTGACACACCTAAACCTGTTGAGTGGCTTTAGCTTAGATCCCAGGGCGGCAGCTCACAGTGGCTCTCTTGGCCCAGTGTGCCTGTCTCATGTCACTTAGATGGCATTTAGAACTATACTGGGCACCAAAATTTATTGCCACTCTAGATGACAAAGACCTAAGATAGCAGAAATTCAATGAACTACAACCATAATCTAATTAAGTAAGGTTATTAGTGACCCTGAGAACTGGGCCAAGCCTCTGACTATTCACATATAATTGAAGATTCTGCCTTGCTAGACTTTTTTTTTTTTTTTTTTCCTGGTACTAGTGATTAAACTCAGAGGCACTATACCACTGAGCCATATCCGTGGTTCTTTTCATCTTATTTTGAACAATCTTGCTAAATTGCCCAGGCTGTCTTTGAACTTGTGATCCTCCTGCCTGAGCTTCCCCAGTATCTGGGATTACATGTGTGCACTCACTGTACCTAGTTCCTTGGCTTTCAATATTACACTCCCGAAAAAGAAAACGAAAGTTCCCAACACCCAGAAATGATTAATTTTTTTTTTTAAGGTCAGAGTAGAGATTAGAAGTTTATTAAAGGACAGCAGAAAAGACTTCTCCCGGAGGAAGAAGGGGACCCAAGAGGTGGAATCCTAGGAATGATTAATGCTTGAGGAAATGGAGTGCTTATTACCCTGATTTGAACATTATGCATTGTACACAATGTATCCAATTATAATGTACCCCTTAAAGAAGTACAAAKATTATGTTTCAATAAAAAATAAGGAATCACATTCAATATGTGATTTCTTAATTCTATAATTGCTATATTTCAACTTTGTGAACTTTTTTTTGACAAAATTTGCATACTAAATTGTTATGTCCACACTGTCTTGTCTTATCATTCACAGATAATAAAGTACAAGTTTATTTTAAATATCTGGGATACAAAAATATTGTTAGGAGGGTATCATTGTTTGGGAGAGAAGATAAGTAGAGAAGCTCATGCTATTAAAGTATTTCAACTATGAAGGAGAAGGGTAATTTCTTGAATTTAAAATATATATTCTTTTTGCTTTATTTTGATACCTCCCCCTACACATTATGGACTGAACATTTATATCTTTTCATAGACTTCATACCCTAACCCTCAAAGTGATATTAGGATGTGGGGTCTTTGGTAGGGTATATAGATCACTTAAGTGGAACCTTCATGAAGATTAGTGCCCTCATGAAAGAGACCCTGGAGAGCTCTCTGGCCTTCTGTACACCTGTGGGCCATGAGATGAAGGCAGTTTGCAACTCAAGAGGGCCCTTTCCAGAGCCTGACAGGCTGGCACTTTGATTTTAGACTTCTGATCTCCAAAACAGTGAGTAATAAATTTCTGTTATTCATAAGCCATCTCAGCTATGTTACCTTGTTGCAGCTCCAAATTGACTAAGATAGCTTCTATGTCACCACCACAGATAATTGGATGATTACCATTAGTAAAATCTCAGTATAAGACTGGTAAAATAAGGCAATCATGAACATCCACAGGAGACTCACTGGTAAATATAACAGCTCATCATCTGGGGATCTTCGTTTCTTGATGGATGTCATCTGGATGCCATGTGTGTTCTGACGAAAAGCTGGTGGAAGAAAAAGGCAAGTTTCATCCTGGGAACATTTGTGAAGCAAATGATATACATTAAACATATTGAGTTATTAATATTAATACTCATAACATTTAATAACACATGCTGAACAAACATGTAGCTCCAGCAACACCCATGACATTGGTCCTAAGCATCCATTTAATTGGTGATGACTACTTTTACATTAAATGAAATTTTACCAATAATGGGGTAGGGAAAGGTTGGAAGCAATAAGTGAAAGAAGGAAATTCAGGATGCTGGGAAATGTCCTTTAGTTTAAGTTATGAGGCAAGAAACCTCTGCTTTGCTCATTTGTGTGTGTCTGTAAAGAGTTATTAGGAAAAGAAAGAAGACTCACTTCTGCATTTCATATTTTAAGGCATTTATTTATTTCCCAAAGAGGCAAATGAATGTTACATAGACTGTCTTAATAATGGTAAAGTGAGGGAATTAATGGGAGATCAATTCCTAAGTTTCCCCAAATTAAAAGTGATACCCATCCAGGATCCAGTGGACAGAGACTATCCTTCTACCAAAAATCAGTCTATCTATAAATTAATGATTTCAATTAAGAATAGAGTACTTAGGGAAGAGTTAGGAACTATGCCATCAGGCAGGCTAAAGAGTACATTTAGAATGGAAATATTTATCTATTCTATATCATATATATGATTTTTTGAGGAAAGATCAGAAAAAGGGAGAGCTCCATAGAAAAAGCATATCATACTGAACAGAAGTTGATGGTGATGAATTTGTTTGTAAAGTATAATACAATTTTTAAATTTTTCTGGATACTAATCAGTGATGATTAAACCCTTTTAATAAAATAAGTCATAGTGTACTGGTATACTTTAAAATACTTGTAGTGCTATCCAGCTTATGCAAGTATACCCTTCTAGAATCAAATTTTACCACAAGTGAGAAAGACGTGGGGGTCATTGGTTTTCAAACCCTGTCATTTTGGGTTCTAGGACTCTATGCAGTGGCTGCAGGTAGACCATGGAGCTGTCGACTATCCCTTCAGCCTGAATAGCTCTGCTTTCATTGATTCTACATTATAGGTTCCTTGAAATATTTTATTTGTTAAAAAGCTTCCAATGATTAAAAATCAAGTTTGAAAACGTGAAATTACTGAGGCCCCAAGAGGGTCATATATGTGAAGTCAAGACTCAATGAGACCCTAATCTACAGAGCCCCATACTGTGCTTGGCAAAATTTGTCCACAAATATTACTGTTCTCATAGTCATGACATGGGCAGTGCTATTTTAGGCCTCATGCTTAATAGTAGGAAGATAAATTGATACCAACAGGATAGATACTGGTTCTCAAACTTTTGATATCATTAGAATCACTTGAATTGCCAGGCTGCACACCCAAAATTACTGATAGAGCAAGTCTGAGGCCTAGAAATTTACATTTCTATCCCGTTTCTAGATGATGTTGCTGCTACCTGTGTGTTGGTCACCTTCTAAGGACTCTTGTACTAAGAAATCTGGGCACAGACTGTGTTTGTAAAGCCACAGTGTTACACCTGGGATTCACCTCAGTGCCTCCAACAGGTTATGCCTTCTCTCACCGACTCTCAAGTCATATTTGCTGCTGATGTGCACAGGTCTCACCCTACAGCTTCTCCAACATCACCCCAACCCTTACATCTGGAGAAGACTCAGTCCTACCCCACGGGCCGGCCACTACATCTACTTACGGCGCTTCGTACCATCGCCGTTCTTTGTGCTGTCCGAAACTTGCTGCTTCCTGATGCTGTCTTCGTCTGCCTTCCTGTCTCTTCCTGGGCAAGCACAGATCCGGGCCTCAAAGCAACGGCGGCCCAGGACCTGCCCACTAGGAATCAGAGAAGAGAAGAGGAAGGGGTTAAAGTCAGAGAATTTAAAGGCCTCCTAGAGTCCTCCCATTTCTGTCCCCACTGCACATGGGCACCCTCACCACCCGTTCCGCGTGGCTGCTCTGAGGAAGGACCCGGAGCACTTGGCAGAACACGAAAGTGCTTCCATGCCACAAGCAATATTAGTAAATAACATTCCATTTGTTCTGCAAAGAACCTCCAAGCCATTAGCAGAACAGCTGTATTTAGCTACATATTTTGAAGGAAACTTGAGTTAAGCCAGTGGATGTCTTAGGATAAAATCCCCTTAGGCAGCCCAGACTTACTCAAAGAAACTGTTAAATGCCTTGGGGCCACATGAAAACAAACACTGTCTAATCAAAAACAATTCCAGTCAAATGTCAAGAATTCAGGTATAAAGCAACTTATACACCTTCCCAGCTCTTCTTTCCCTTCTACTTTTACCCACCCCTCTTCTGTCTTCACCTTCTGTGATCTTTTATAGTTAGTGTTTACAGCAAGAATCTAAAGCACAAAGGACAAAATCAAGGGCAGCTCTCCACTGTGCATGCAAAGTTAATCATAAAATAGACAATTTCACTCTGTCCTCTGCCTGTGATTGTTTGTAGAATGACAGCTCTACACATGCCACTTACTCTCTGGTTTCTAGAGTAACAATGATTAAAATTGGACGGCGGTTCATCCCTCCAACACAACTGCTGTTACACATGAAATTGTATAAGACTGTCGTGAATTCAGTGCCAACCTGAGAACAGGAGAAAAAAAATCTGTATTAATGATAGTTCGAACTGATGTTCTTCTTTCTCAGGTTTTCCCTTTCTTGAAAGAACTCCATTTCTAAAGRAGGGAGAAGCTTCCTTCTAGAAAGGAAAACTCTGAAATCCATTGTAAATTCCTCTAGTCTTTGCCTTCTGAAAAGCTTCAAGCTAATGTTGGCAACATTGGACAAGACTTAGGTAAGATAAGCTTTAACAGTTCTTTGATCTTTAATCCCATTCATATACAAACAGAACCAAATCACCCAATTCAAATAGGCTATACCCAATACATTAATATCCCTGAAAGGGGAGAGCTAAAAAAAAAATCACTCCAAATAGCAGCACTGCTCCAAGGATATTTTTCTTATGTAGACAAAACAATATGACACAGATTTGATTATACAGTTATTCCATAACTAAGAACCCTGGAGCTTCAAAGTTCCTCCAAATTAAATAAAATAGTCTGAAGTGTCTAAAGTGCTCATTCACGGTTAAGGCAACTGAAGCCCAGAATAGAGAATCATATGCCAAAGATCCTCACAGCAAACCAAAGAACTTTGGTCTAGTTCCTCCTGTTGCTTTCCACTCCACTACTCTGCTCTACACAACAGATTGATAAACTTGCCCTTCTGTGAGTTGAATTTCAGCTAAGAGATTCCTTTTAGGGAGTCCCATTTATATACTAGTGTAAGAATACTTACATTCATTACTGGGGCATGTCCACTACCAATTGCCAGTTGGATAAAACAATATCATTTGTAAACCCATTTTCCAGTTCAATCGTTATCTGGATGGGAACATGAATGGGAACATGGGTATGGAGCCATGTTCCCAAGTTAATTCAGTACGTATTTAGGAGTTATGAAGGGGAGGCACATGGAAAAGAGAGACAGAAGGAATACAAAAAGTTGCATATTTGATGATAAGGACTAAGAAAATGATAAGTGCCAGAAATACTCTTGTCACCAAAACTAACACTTCAGAACTACCTCAGTCAGTTGGTTAATCATTTTTTCTTGTCTTTTTTACCTGGGGTGGTTCATAAGGTACCAGTACACTCTGTCTTCCTGTGATAGGGTCTTCTACATATTGGGCATGGCTGTTCCCTTCCACTCGAATCAAATGACTAGGAGGGGCAATCTGTCCTGCAGAACAACAAAAGACAAAACAGTTAGTTTGCTTACTCTCACAGAAAGAAGACAAAATGAAACCACATGGATAGCATTCTGGTGGCCAAAAGAAAGACGAAAAATATATGCTTGAAAAAGGAACGAACGATCCTGTTGCTAGATATGTAACACAGGTGGATATCTCAATCTTGATGGCAGAAGGAAGGGCTGTAATGCTCTTCTCCAACTGAGGGAACAGTCCTTGCTTTGAAGTTTAAGGTTAACTATTCAAACTGTTATGAAATTGTATGACCACATCAATTACCTCATTCATGGAGAAGATTTTGCCATATTCCATAGAAAATGGAAGAAAACCAAGCAATGTTATCCCGAAGTCTGAATAGCAAAGATACTATATAGGTCAGTGGTAGAGCATCTACTAGGTATATGCAAGGCCCAGAGTTCAATTTCCAGCATGGCCAAGAAATCAAACAAAAAAACTAAATAAGAAGCAGAAGATTGCAAGGACACACATGACCTTCACTTTGCTTATTCCTTTCTCCTTTTCCATCTTAGACCTTGCTTTGGTTAAAAAGATAAGAAACTTGCTGGAAAGACTGTGTTGAAAGAGTCCCAGGTTGGAGACAAGAAAAGGCAAGCAAGTTTTAAAAGGAGCCAAGGCAAAGTCTTACAAAATTGTAATAGTTGGCAGGGCTCCAAAAGAAAGAAACTGCTCCAAGAATTAGCAGCTATAAAGCTGTTCTTACTTCTGCCTGTGTAGTTCTGTTATATGAAAACTACTGAATAAAAGTAAAAAGCTAAGTCTATCAAGATGTGCTCTTCAGCATCATCTATCTTGATCCAAACAAAACAACTATTATGTGAAAAAATTGAGAAATTTTTTTTTAAAATAGTCTTTTTGATGGAACACAAGCATTTAGGTAAACTGATAATGAAGCCTATGTACATGGAATGTTCTTTATGCAAATTGTTAAGCAAAATGTAAAATGTGAAGGTGTGGCTAAGGCAGCCATGTGGGCAAGAACTAGGAACTAATGTGTGAAGAAGAGTTGTGTGAAAGAGAATTTTGGGTTTATTTTCTTCTTTTATATTTATCCATTCTCTTTCTTCCTTTAGCATTTTCCTCTATACTCAGATACACCTGCTGTATATTGACATATTCTAACCACCTACCAATATTGGTTTCTAATATTTTTCCATGAAGTATCCCAACTCCCAACCCCTTCTGCACCATCACCAGGCTTTGATGATTCGTTATGTTTTCTCCTGTTTTTCTTTTCTACTTCTCTAATAAGTTTCCCATAAATCAGATCCAAGGGAACACTTAGAGGTTCTACAAAGCTGTTGTGCTCAGATGATGGGTGTGGTGCATACATGGACATCGGGCTTAAGTGAAGTCCTCCAGAAACTTGTGCTTGACTCCTGGCCCTCCATCTGATTACCCCATCTTAGGTTCTAGATCTTCCGTTTCCTCTCCTTACTCCTCTTACCTATTATTTTCCTTCTCGTTTCTTTTTCTTCCCCATTTTCTCTTTAATTTTGTTCATTATTTCTCCCCACCCCCCTGCCCCCTCTTGCCCTTCCAGCTCTCCACTCATCTAGACTTGAAAAGCACAAACATTAAAGAACACTATAGCCTGGGCCAAGCAGAATAACTATCACACTGTTCTGCTTACACCCTCTCATAAAACAAAAACAGCAAGAAAAACAAAGCAGAACAAAATAAAACAAAAGGAAGGAAGCAGTAAGGAGCAGAGAGACCAGTCTAGGTCATTCAGTAACCACTGATATTAAATTAAATAGTTTAAACACTGTAAAAGCCACATTTTTTTGTTTTGTTTTTTTTTTGTTACTGGGGATTGAACTCAGGGCACAGGGCCACTGAACCACATCCCCAGCCCTACTTTGTATTTTGTTTAGAGAAAGTGTCTGAGATGCTTAGTGCCTCGCTTTTGCTGAGATTGGCTTTGAACTCTTGATTCTCACTGCCTCAGCCACCCAAGCTGCTGGGATTTCAGGTGTGCACCACCACACCTGGCAAGACCACAAATTTATTTGTCATTATACTCAGATACTCAGTCAAAAAGGAGGCTGAGCTGACATTGGATTGCAGAAGCCTGAACCAAGTAGACAGGAACCAAATAAAAGGCTCCCAGGATCTTTACCTTCAAGGAGCTCATTTAAAGAGACACAGATTCTAATCGCCCTTACCCTCATTGAATTCACGGCTCAGCTCATGGTTGGGGCAACGCTTCACCACTTCAGTGACGTGTTCGGCTTTCTTGTAGACAGGCATGGCACGGATGACAGCGCCCTGAGGAGGTGGGGTCATCACCTTGATCTGGATGGGGCATGTCTTTGCTATTTGGCAGTACAGTTTCTTCAGCTCGGTGGAATACTGCTTGGAGATGGGGCCAGAGGTGCAGGGAAGGAGAGAGCCAACAGGAGATATTGTTACATTCCAAATCACAACAGTCAAAGCATGCCCACTTTTTATAGGCTTTATAGCTGCATGATATTACTGTTACAATATACATGATATTTGGCAATCTTATTAGAGGAAGTTATATTCATTAACCAAATTAAAACTTTTTTTTTCTCTCTAAACAAAATATTATGTTGCTAAAGGTAGCACATTTGTGCCATTATTTCCTACTACACTGTCTTTAGAATGAAGAAATTTAGGTTCAGAGGAGTTAAAAAAAATAATGCCATGAGTAACTTCACTGCTCACCAGAAAATGAACAGAAATATAATACTTTCATATGCAGAGTGATACTGACCAACAAAACTAGAAAGATAGCTTTCTGCTTAATAAATTATAATTAACTCTTCCCTTATAACTCTAGAGATATTCACAGGAATTGGTGTTTGTAGAATGCTTTTTTAAGACAGAATATCTGTAAGAGAATGAAGGTAATTTATCTGATGTCAAGCAGCTAGAATACTGTTAAGCATGAGCACCCGCAAACTATTGCACTGATCTTCTGATGTCATAAGCAAAAGAGAATGCAAGAGCTGGGAGAAGGCTTTTGTTTCTATGCTCCTCAAAATGACAGGCATAGTGTAACACAGCTGATCACAGCAATGAAAGGATCCAGATATAGCTCTTTTCCCTCACAGTGATTGAAGTTTCCTCCCACTCTTCCTTCTTCAAGGAAAGGTAGTTCAGTGGAGGTTAGTTAGTTGGAAAACTAAAAGAGTGAAGAAAGCATGAGACCTAGAACAAGGACAGCATGAGTCCCGCCCTGCATGCTGCATTGCTACCTTTTCTCCTCTCTGAGCCAGAATAAAAGCCTTCATGCTAATCTTTCACTGTACTAAACCTTGCTCTCTGGGTCTTCATTCTGACTCACTCAGATGCTGGGATGAAACGACCCAGGCACTGGAAATACTGGCCAAAAGTGGGGCACCTAGTAACATGTAACCAAACAAAGGGTAAACACACTTACAAGCTGCTGTCATCAGTCGGCAGCAACATCCTTCCAGGGGAGGGACACAGGGGAGCAGCAGCCAGAGTGGCAAAAAGATTCCTTATTGATAGTCTCACCCTAACTCACCCCAACTCAACCTATAGGCAAACAGCCTAGCAAAGAGCACATTTTAAATGATCAATTTATCTCTTCCTTTTGAAATATAATGTTTATTTAAACAATAGTTCTTTTTCTCTCAACCATTTCAGGCTTATGAATTTTTCAGTTAAAGACTTCCTAGTGCTAGAAGAGTATTGTGAAATCAGTCCCCCATGCCTACAGGCTAAGGATTAAATGCAGCAAAAGGGTTCTACATAGCTGGGAGATACAGGAAACATTCCAAAAAAAATCAACCACAAAAATAAAATTCTACTTGGGAAACACTGAATAAAATGTAGGTATATGTGTTTTGCCCTTGTGTTTTCAAATCATTACAAAGTCATTGTTTTCAGACATATTAAGAGTTCACTTTTATGGAAAAGTCTAAGGCAGTAAGTTTCAGACATATTAAGAGTTCACTTTTATGGAGAAGTCTAAGGCAGTAAGTGCATCCATCAGCATTTCAGTTAGGAGATAAAGGATACATAATTCTAACTATGAGTTTTTATCAAATGAACCTAACAAAAAATGACTGAAAAATCAGTCTGACAGCTATCACCTGAAGGCAAATAAGGCATTCTTTCAAGTATGTAAAGATTGCAAAAAAAGAGTAATGTTCAGAGTAGGACAGTTTCTTAGGAGAAACATTCCATAGCAATAATTAATATACTATAAATCAAATCTGACAGTCTAAAGTACAGAAGTACCAAGAATAAGGTTAGGCATCATCAAACACAAATCCTTGCTCACTCTCAGGGTAATGGTAATATAAGTTAGGTAATCTAAGTTATAAGTTAACTACCAATAATAGATTCACTAATCATTGAGTTCTGTTGTTAGAAATTCAATCCTCACAACTGCACTACGAGGAACATATTACAGGTATACAATGACTTAGTTGAAACCCTTGGGGCCAGAAGTTTCAGAATTCAGAATTGCTTAGCAGTTAGAAGGGGAGTAAAGTTCATATATCAAATATGATAAATACCTCCATCAGCAATTAAAACAGTACTCCATCATACCCAATATTAACATTTCTGTAGGATTCATAAATAAACACTTGGAGAAGGAAACCATGATAAAGCCTCACAGTTCAGGCTAGATTTCACTACCAAATCACAATGCCACAAAGTCAGAAAATTAAAACAAAACAACTTTGAGTTTTCAAAGCTCTTTGAATTTCAGAATTGCAGATAACAGATAATGAACCTGTATTATTATCTCCATTCTAGAGATAAGAAAATCAAGGCATAGAGAAGACATGCCTGAGGTCACAAAGAAGATCTACTCTGTCCTTGTCATGTAACAACAGTAGGTTACCTCTCTATTCTTTCAGCTCAGCAGTGCAAATTTTTGTACTTGTATATTTTTTCTAATTTACAACATCATGGCTCTTCGAAAACTGAACTTCAAACATACATGATCTTCTCTAATGTTAAAATGGAGCTTAAAAGTATTCCACTGAACATCAATAATTTTGCTCTCTTTCTCAGTAAAATGTTTGCTTGTTTAATTTCAGGAAGAGGAAGTAAGTAACACAATTGAAAAAAAACCTGGGCCAGGTGGAAGTCTACCTGGGCTCTAGTGACTTCTAGTATGATCTGGGGAATTTGAGAGTAAGAGCCTCCTTTTAGCAAGGTTTAGTAAGAACTTTATAAGGTATCCCCATCCCTCCAAACCCCTTCTTCTCTACTTTCCATTGCTTGTACTACCTCTACAAATTTTTATTGCAAGCTTTTTAAACATATCATACGTTTGCCACCCACAATTCAAGTGTGCCACCCTGTAGAATATTCCTGTTTTCCTCAGTTCTCTATCCATGTCAGGGCAATGTAGATATTAAACCTAGTGAAGAATGCATCTCACTTTAGCTATATCCATAAAATTTTGATAGATCTAAATTTAAATATTGAGGAGCATATGAATCATTCCTTTTGGGTATTCTTTTAGTTCCCTCTCATATCCAATATAATAAGTGACAATATTTAACATTTATGGAGAAAAATAATTCTCTACATCTCATGCTTGTACCATAGGTCCATTTCTAACAAATTTATTTCCCCTTTGATTTTCCTTTACCATTTAATACAGATTTTTTCATTGCTATCTCTAGGGTTCTTATATCTCTAGGTAGGTTTCTACTGCACACAAGCATTAAGTAAAGTATTCAGTTAATTTTATAACTGAAAATTTTATATAATTTTTATATAAATTCAGTTAATTTATATATAATTTTATACAAAGACAGAATATTTTAAATCTAAGAACTTCTTTGTTTCCACAAGTCCATTATATTGCACTTCCAATAGCTCTTTGGATGGATATTAAACACTTCAAACCTTATATTTGAAGGCTAGAAGTATCTAACCCCTTAACGTTATCATTATAAGAAAAGTTATGAAGGTTTAAAGACTTTTATTAACCTCTTTCCAACTTCTATTTCTACATATTATATGCTTTTTTTGAAAAGTATAACAATGTGCACATAGAAACTCTGGCAAAAAAATTATATTCACTAACCTATAGCTATATAACATCATTTTGAACTTTTCTCTGTCTACTCAAACATATATACACACAACACCCTTATGTAAACTGAGGGCATAAGATAAAAAATTGAGTATTCTTCATTTAACATAAGGTGACTATGTTATAGTTTAAAAATACAATATTAAGGGGTTGGTATTAAAGTATTTAATCATATAATTCTTACAGAATATACCAGTTTAAAAATAATACCAGTCAGGACATTTTAATACATAAATCTTTGGTACATAAATAAGTTTTAGTTAGATCTCTTGAAGCTGTAATTAACAAAAATAAAACAAAACAAAACAAAAACAGTGTTGCAGAAAAGTCCAATCTGAATTTTTTTCCATAAAACTGCTTGTTCTGCTGTCATGTATATCTAATTAGAACAAATAAAAAAGATACATAAAAAGAAGATGACTTATGAAGCAAAGATGGACATAGGAAAGTTCCTATCAAATAATCCAAGTGAACGATGAAAGAGACTTCTGATGGAGTGGAGGTGGTGAGAAGTACCTGGTTTCTAGGTATATTTTCACCAGATTTGTTGATGGATAGGTTGGGGTGGGAAAGAAAGGGAAGACAATGTATTCAACTAAAGCAGGGAAGAAAAATGTCATAGTAGCAGTGATATTTAAACTAGGCCTTACAAGACAAGTTATCATTCATCACTGGATTATGTACCCCAAGAAGGGGAAGTTGGAAGAACTAAGAGGCAGGCAACAGGCTTTCTATGAGGAAAGCACATCATGAGTGAAAGCAAAGGGATATTTACTATGGGAAGTATCAGTGGGCTGGGGAAGGAGACTGAGAAGCAAAGCAGACAGCAATGAGATTAAGGAAGGAAAGTAGGACCAGATTCTGAGGAGCAATGGATATCTTGAGAAACTATCAAAGAAGAATCAGTGAACACTGTAAGGTGGGAGAAAGAATGAATCATAATATTATTAAGAAATACAAAGCTGAAGCAAAGAAGAAGCAGGGAGACCCAACATGAATTAGTCAAGCAAGAAATCTGAGTAGACTGTTGAAAAAGAATGAAAACGTAGAGAAATGAGAGTAAACTTTCTACCCCAAATTCAGTGTTCTTGTTATCATAAAAGATGTGAATGCATGCACCAAAACACACCAAGAAACATTGTTATTTAAAGCAAAATTTGCTTACAAAAACAATGCCAGTTATTTGCTTAACTATTCTCTGAAATCAAAGTGGAATGAGTGAGTTAGTTTTAACATAGGGCTCCTACTATTCAACAGTTAGCTAAGACCTGGCTTAGTCAATGGACTCACTAACAAA